ACAGTCCAGTGCTGGTCCTATAGCATCACACCATGAGTTCATTAAGGCGATTGTTGTTGTTGTTAAGTGCCATCGAGTTGGTTCCGACCCATACTGACCCTGTATAGGGTTTCCAAGGAGCAGCTGGTGAGCTTGAACTGCCGAACCACCGGATTTACAGTTCAAATGGTTTTGCAGTCTGGCACATTAACCCACAGTACCACACCAGGACTCCATAAGGACGATGTGTTGTTAAGTGCCGTTGAGCTGATTTCAATCCATAGCAACCCTGTATAGGTTTCCAAGGAGCAGTTGGTGAGCTTGAACCACCAACCTTGCAGTTCAAACGACTTTGCAGTCTGAGGCATTAGCCCACAGCGCCACAGCAGGACTCCATAAAGGTGACAGAAGGCTGGTTTTCTGTGTTTGGCAGTCAAGGATGGGAGAAGGATGTGGAGCAAGGGCAGACCAGAACCTGTGAGGATTAGTAAAGCCTGTGGGGACTGAGTGGAGCCCACATCAGTCTCTCACTGCTTACAAGTACCCAACTTGGAGAGCAAGGTTGTCCTGCCCAAGTTGGCACTATGTGCCATAGAGGAAGACGTCTAGCTGGCCCAGTGGTCAGGAGGAGGTGGTCCAGGAGAAGCTGGTGTTGCTGTAGGGCTGGCTGTTGCCCCCACACCAAGACGATGAGCAACAAAACATGTGTGAGCTGTAACAGTGTCTCGGGGCCTGCAGGAACCTTCCAAGGATACTCAAGCTGTTACTTTCTCTCTCCTAAATCTAGCAATGCGGCTGAGGTCCACACTACCCAGAAAGTATGCAATGTGGGGCATTCTGGGGACCACAGCTCCAGATGAGCTCAACAGGGACAATATAAACCCACCACAGGTGGTCAGAGGCCTCTGAAAGTCTTGTGAGCTGAGAACCTTTGGAATGAGAAGGCGTCAGTCATGCATCCTGTCAAGATTTGGAAGAGAAAATTCCAGACAGATGTAACTGCTAATGGAATGGCTCTGCTCGAGTAATATAAGCCTGGTAATTTTTGGCAAACAAGACAGTAAGGTTGGGTTGCCAGCATGAGGCAGTACAGAATGAGATCAGAGACAGAAGCAGGCACCAGAACATGCTGGGCTCAGAGACACATTAGGTGAGGAGCTGGGATCATTGTTTGGAATTGCAACTGGAAGCGACTTGTTGTGAAGTGCCGTCAAGTCAATCCCGACCCCTAGCGACCCTGTATAGGGTTTCCAAGGAGTAGCTGGTGAGCTTGAACCACCGATCTTGCAATTCAAACGACTTTGCAGTCTGACGCATTAACCCACAGCGCCACACCAGGACTCCCTGGGAAGCGACTAGAGAGGTTTTAAACACATGTGTTAACGATTTACATGTTTGTTTTTTAGCATCTTGTTTTTAAATAATTGAATAGAGAAAAGAGTAGCACAAAGTACCCTTGTTTGCCCATCATCCAGATTTTCCTTTTAAAAAGGTTGCTTGGGGTTCTTTGTGGAGGATGGGCTGTCACGGGTAGGACTGCTGCCTCCCACAACTGCCGGCAGCACGGTGTTCTGTGTACGATGCACATTATGCTCTGGGGGCTGTGCGGGAACTGAGTGTGGAAGTCATCAGACTAGGAGAGCTACTGCAGAAGCCATGTGACAGCGCTTCCGTACCCCTTCTCAGATCTTGTAAGAAAACCAATCCCATTATTTAGTCTCAACTCACAAATTCACATTGGAACAAGCAATTATCACCTCACAGATTTGGTCTCAAATTTCCAACAGTTACTCAAATTCTCAAAAACAGACAAGCATAAAAACTCCAAAATTTAGTACCAGTGATAGAATTTAAGAGACTACTTCACAAATACTGTACATTTCCACAGGCAGAGAAAGGCTTTTCAAATTCAGCATGAAGAATGTGCACAGCCTCCTAAGGGAAACGCTGAAGGGGCCAATATCCATGCTGATGTAAGGTACCAGTATGATTCATTTACACGGACCTTCTACCTGTCTATCTTCTATTTTCATCAACTTTGGCGTTCTTTACTTGAGATCTGCCTGGGTTCTCTCTTCCTCCTGGCAATACTGTCTCACTAAAAGCTAAGGTTCAAATACACTACACTACACTGAGGTTTGACACCCATTCAAGCTCATTTCTGATCTCTGCACAATTCCAGGCTTAATGTTAAGTCTTCAGCTATAATAACTATGGATACTTAATCATTCTCATTACACACATTATGTTGTTGTTAAGTGCTGTCAAGTTGGTTTGACTCATAGCAATCCATAGGTTTCCAAAGAGTGGATGGAGGGTTTGACCCACGGACCTTACAAGTTAGCAGTTCAGTGTTTATCCTGTAAGCACCACACCAGGACTCCACACATGATAATGCTCCTAAAATCATGAGGGTAGAGTAGAAAAACAAAGGGCAGTTGGGTGACCTTGTGAGAGTCATTCAATCTTCATACTCTGTTCATTGGAAGCCTGAAGCTACCGCAGCAGGGCTTAGTGGGAATGAGGTAGAAGTGCCTGATGCATGCATGGTAAGCACCCAACTAAATATAAGTTAAGGTCATTACACATATTGATGAAAACAGACCTCCTCATACTTTCATAAACAAGGAAGAAGAAATGCTTTGGGTGGGGGGAAAGGGGGGGAATCTTGGCAGGCCATGTATATTCTTTATGAAAAAATGTAAAACCAGGCAAAGCAGAACCCTGAGTAGTCAAAAAAAGCATTACTTGGCAGAGAAAGAAAAGTAGAGACATTTTGATCTTTAATTAGAGTTTGCAGTACAGACTTATCCTTCTGTAATCCGGGGGTATAGATCTTCGTGTAAACATTCAGAAAAAAAAAAAAAAAGGACTAATGTGTTAGAACTTACACATTCTAACTTTCAAACTCTGGTTACTAATTTTTATATAAAAGGACAGTTTTATATTGTTATTAACAGCTCTTTTGCTTCATTTAACAATGACTCATTAATAACAAAATAAATTAGCAGCAAATTCAACCATAAATTAAAATAAATAAGTAAAAAAAAATCTGTTAGTTTCATAAATGCTAGCATAGGAATACATTTCAGGTACATCAATTACAGAGTGACTATGTGCTTGGAGTTCACAAAAAAGTATGAAAACTCTTTACTCTTTTTCTTAGCTTAATTAACTACACCTCTGTAGTTCATACTGGGACTATTAGTGAGATGTGGTAAAAGAAAAAGTTCATGGCCACTTAGGAACTTATGTAAATCTAAAATATATGTGAGCCTTTCTAGTCTCAGCCTACAGCACTCCCTTATTAACTAATTTACACAGAACTGCTCGAGCGATGATTTAATGAGCAGACTGAACTTTGTCACTGCAACTTTACGAGCCACAGACTTTTTGAAGTGAAGGCTTCAAAAAGTTTGGGGAATGATGGAATTAAAAGATAATGGAATGTTTCCACAAACATTTTGAAGTCACTTAGTCCTGGTGTGGTGCTGTAGGATAAGCACTGGACTGCTAACCACAAGGTAAGCAGTTCAAACCCGCCAGCTGCTCCTTGGAAAGCCTATTCAGGGTCACTATGAGTTGGAACCAACTCGACAGTATTTAACGACAGTGTATAGGAGTCCTGGTGTGGCGCTGTAAGATAAGCACTGAACTAGTAACACAAGATTGGCAGTGCAAACCCACCAGTCACTCCTCAGAAACCCCACACAGGGTCAATATGAGTTGGAACCGATTCAATGACACTTAGCAAGCAAGCAACTACAATTGCCTGCAAAATGAAGCAAAACAGTATTCAATTTGGCATAATGAAATGCCCATAAATGTATCTTTAGATTGTGTTACATGATCTTAAATAGTTAATTAAAATGTTTACTGATCAGTGGGCCAAATCTTGCTAAAAATGTTATACCTTTGGAAGCAGGTAGAATTTAAAAAAGGAAGAAAAGAAAAAGGCCCGAGATAAAAATGAAAAGGCTCAAACAAACTTAGAAAACAAAAACTGACTGATTTCCAATCAGTGACTATTAGTGGGAGTCCTCAGTTTATTCAGTAGCTATTCTTTAAACAGGCATTTGATAAAGTATTCTGTAGCTAGCATACTCAATACTGGGGCATCACACACAAAAAATATGGCTTTATTACAAGGGATTCAAGATGGCAACTACTTAGAATCCAGTGCCAACATGGATTATAACAAATCCAGTGAGTATTTTGTTTTTCAATTATTCATAGAAAATTTAATCCTGATTAAGTATCCTTGGGCAGGAATTCATGGGTAGTTGATGACTGAAACCAACATTTATGTGAAATGCTTCTGTTAATTTAATCTGTGTATATGGCTTAATTATGATTGAGGATTCAATGTAAGAGAAATGAATTATATCGGGATTAAAATTTTAGTACCATACCACATAGTACTTTCTCCTTTATATTTTTTTAAAAAAAAATAAACATGTAAACCTGCTTGTCCTTTCACCTAAGTTTTCACATTTTAAAACTGTTCATTCTTATAGCTCAGGTAATGCATCCAAGTTTTATTTTGCATAAACTGATATAAACCCTTTGCTAATCAAGCTAAAAACTTCAACTAGCGCCAAAAAGGAAAGAAAAAAATTGGAGAATAACCCCACCCACAAACAAACAAGCAGTTTAACTATGAATATTTCATACTCATTTCCTAAACTTATTTCAGTTTCAGTTCCTTTAAATTCCAACAGGAAATGCATTTTCTGTACAGCATAAAGAACAAAAGAAAATAATTGTGAATCAGTGCATTACACTTCCTAACTGGAATTTACACATATATGCATATATATTAAGTAAACATTTCATAATTGGAATTTATATATATATATACACACATATATAAAACATATACACACACAAATTATACATATACAAGTAATCATTTAACTGATTACTTTCTATAAGACTCTCAAACCTGAGTTAGCTATATGTTGATGTAAAATGAGGCATAACAAGTGGTGAATATTTTACCAAAATATCATGTAACCTTTACCTTTATTTCCACAGGGAAATTGCTTATGACAACAATCTTTCTTGAGAGTTTATTAAGCATATTTCAAAGCATTTCACTTATTATCATTCTTTGTTTTGGGTACTGCTTAAATGCAGTTATAAAAACAACACGCTCTGTTTTTGCTTTCAATTTTTCATACCAATGTATGAAAAAAAAAAAAAAAAAAAAAAGTCACTGTATTTGGATCCTTACTGCACGTCATCAAAGCAATTCACTTTTCCTTTGACCCAAATCAAGTATCAGAAGTGAGGCCGACTTTTGTGTCCAGACGATATGGTTAGTGGTAGTGTTACCGAGGAAAGCGAGGAAACCTCCCAGTACAGACTGTGCGACAGAAAGAGTCTGTAGAGAATGGCCATGGAGACAGACTGGCAAAGGGTGACCCCGATTATAACAACCTGAGAAGAAAATAAGAGACTCTTCTAGGGCTGGCAGAAACGTAACAGTTATGTTTGATTTACCATGAACCTATATCAACGTTATATATAAACACATATATACATACATATAAGGAGCTCTGGTAGCATAGTGGTTATGAATCGGGCTGCGAACCTGAAGGTCAGCAGTTCGAAACTACCAGCTGTTTCATGGGAGAAAGATGAGGCTTTCTGCTCCTGTAAAGATTTATAGCCTCGGAAACCCTGTACAGGGTTGATATGAGTCGGAAACGACTCCACGGCACAGCACAACAACATACATACATATACCCAACACACGTTACATACAAGCATATGTATACATACATACATACACACATACTATCCCTCCCTTTGTCTTTACCAAGGATACAAATAGCAAATCAATTTTCAAAAGGAAAACATGACTAACTTCAGAACTCTAATTGTTCAGGGGTAAATTTTTAAAAGAGTTTATAGATGGCAAAGTTAAGACACAAAAGAAACACTTACTAAGCCATTCTCTCCTAAGGGTGAGCACATTACAGAAAGGAGTTTCCGTAAATAACAACAAAAACCAGGTTCCTGGCTAACACAGTAATAGGAATAAGGGATGACTCACAGGAGCTTTGAAGAATATTCTAAAAATCCCTTCAAACATTTTCAAGTTGCTTCTCTATTTTTACAGACTACCTTCTGACCTATTTACCTTTATAAAATACCTCAGGCTCAGAAACTATTTGTGCACTCAAGTCCTACTCGGTTGCTTGTAAAGGTGTCTGGGCAGAACTCCATTTTGAAATGATGGCGCTGTTCACTTAAGATGGTAGGTACTAACCCAATGCAAACATGGCACACAGGGGCATGCAGTTCACTCTGTTGCTTGTTAAAGCAACGGCGATAATTTTTATTCATCTCTCTTGATTTTTACCATAATTTAGCAACAACTCAGTCATTTTCTTCACAAAAATGTATTACGGGTTCTTTAATTGATAAAACTGTATTCTGAAATAGGTTAAAATAAGGATAACAAAAGTCATTCTCAATCATTTAACTTATATGATAGGGCTTCAAACAGTTGGTGAAAAAATCCCACTCCTTTTTCTCCTTTTTCATTCCATTTCTCCATGACCTTGTGAAGCCCCCTAGTTTTCACACTTTATATTTTAAACCTCTAATTTATATACTCTGGCTCAATGTTTTGTTTCAAAGTTTTATTTTCATGCATTCAGGAAGCTACTGAACACATAAATAGGTCCTTTACACTTTAATAATTTCTAATAAAGATGGTATTTTCCTTTAAAAAACTATTTTAATTCTGTATGTTACTTACCTTGTCTCTTTGGTACTCACTAAAAATGACTGAAATACATGTGAGGCCTGGATGGCACAGGAACCACAAGACACAGCCCTGAAACAAACCAGAGGTAAGTCGTTAAGACATAACAGATAAAACTATTACCAGCACATTTCCAAGGTGCTCACTGCCCGAAACACTCAAAGATGAAGGCTCCTTGCAGAGAAGGGTAGAACTGGGCTGATATGAACGGGAAACTTTGAACCATGACAATTCTCTTAAACAAAATCAATTTTGAAATAAAATCATAATTTTTTCCATAATTTGAAAAAAAAAAAATGGAATCGTCAGGAGAGGTTCTGTGGGCTGGCCAGGCTGACAGCACAGTTTACCAGGATGCTGATCTGAACTGGCAAGATGGGAAGATACGTATCCTCCTTTCAGTCCAACAGGAGAACACACCTTTCTATAGAACGAGGATTTTATGTGACGACACCAGCCCCTCTCCTCCTCTTTTCTCCTTTATTAAACAGGCACAGGACATTCCTGTGTGGCGCTGTAGGATTAGCATGGACTGCGAACCACAAGGCCGGCAGTTCAAATCCACCAGCTGCTCTTCAGAAACCCAATACAGGGTTGCTATGAGTCAGAACCAACTCGATAACAGTTAACAACAACAAGGACTTTCCTGACTAGAGATAAGAGTCAAATGAGCACTGAGCTCTTTCTTACAGAATAGCAAAGAAAGTGAACGTGACCTCATGTGGATGGAGTTGAATAGCTGAAACGCTCATTTGTACTTAGCCTTCAGGCTCCGTCTGTCTGTCTGCTAACAGACAGCCCTCTTCACAGTTTGTTATAAAACACTGTAGAACTTAGAGGGCAACAGATCATAGTAACATTTCCTAATTGATTAAAAAATTTTCTTAGTTCTGATACTACAGAAAAATGTAAAATTCCTACTGATAAAAACGTGTGACCCAGGTAACATGAATCTACTATTAGTTTTCATTTATAAGGAAAATCACATCCCACTGGCTCTGTACAGTAAGGACAGCAACGCCTGCTCCTCACAGGTTGTGACGATGAAGTGAGTTGAAGCATATAAAGGGCCAAGCACACAGTAAAAACTAGATAAGTCAGTTAGCATGTGCTGCTTATTAGCTTCCCAAAGAAATGAGAATGGACATAAGAATGAGAAGCAACCCTTCTTTCCCCCAAACTCCTACTTTGGCAAATGTGATATAGAACTCCCTTCTGAGTGTACTTCGCTCCACTGTGATGATCTGGTAGAGTCCACAGCCTAAAGACACTGCCAGGCAAATTCGTAAGAGGATCAGAAGAATCCCCGCTAAATTGTGATGGGAATGGGAGCTGTGATGACTGGTATCTTCAAACTGTTCCCAAAGCAGCAAAATACTCTGTAAAAAACAGAATGACATTTAGAGGAAAGATTGTAACTTTTTCAATTCTTGGTAAAAAGCCTTTAAACATGTATAAACATTACTGAAGCCGTTACATTACTAGTCAGACAATAAAGGTGGTAAATAAACAAGCACAATCTTTTCCTCACTGATGTCAAAAGTTAAATAAAAAATAAAAACACCTTGTTATTACATCAGATCACAAAGTGCAAAAAATGTTATCACTACTATGATTCGAATCAAACATCTCCAAGAATGAAAATAAACTCAAAGACTTAAAAGAATACATATAAACTTTCTTCTAAATCCATCTCCTACTTACTTCAAAATCATTATTTGGAATTAAACTGTTCTACAGGTCAAGCAACCACCACTAGTCTGTCAGTTTGTCATACTGTGGTGGCTTATGAGTTGCTATTATTCTGGAAGTTATGCCATGGGTATCTTAAATACCAGCAGGGTCACCCATGGTGGACAGGTTTCAGATGAACTTCCAAACAAAGACAGACTAGGAAGAAAGACTGACAAACTACTTCCGAATATTTACTCACTGAAAACCTTATGAATAGCAGAAAAACACTGTCAGATATAGTGCTGGAAAATGAGCCCCTCAGGTTGGAAGGCAGTCAAAATGTGACAGGGGAAGAGCAGCTGTCTCCTCAAAGTAGAGCTGACCGTGATAATGCGAATGGAGTAAAGTCCATGGGAGTAAAGCCCACGGCACCTTCATTTGCTGATGGGTACAACTCAAAATGAAGAGAAACAGCAGTAAACATCCAAGACCCCCAGCAAGATGAATTGGCAAAGTGGCAGCATCAATGGACTCAAGTGTGGCAACAATTGTGAGGTTGGCCCAGGACAAGGCAGTGTTTCATTCTGTTGTACACAGGGTCATTATCAACTCGATGGTACCTAACAACAACAACAACAACACTCAAGCAAGCCCATTATCTTAGAGTAACTTACAAATATCTCAGTATTTCTTCTAATAAAAAATTTTGATTTAAAAAATCAAAATTGCTGATTTCAGACTACACATTTTACAATTTACATTATACAATGATAAGATCCCCAGAGTAAAGGAGAGCACAATCTTAATTCTCATTCTAAGTATCCAAGGCATTGTTATTTATCCTTATTTGATTAATTATTTTCCTCTCCTGTTGTTACTATATTTATAAACTCAGCAAGTTCCTCATTAAGCTGTTGCATTTACACAGAAATCAGTTAGTAAAAATCATTGTTTACTTTCCCTTTTTATCTTTACCAAACATCAGCCATTTAAATTACTATACGCTCATTCCTCACTTATCAACGTGGTTAGGCTCCATCAGTCAAAACAAGTACAGGGGAAGACTGTGGACTGCTCATATGCAGGGTCAAGCTGAAGTTGAAGAAAATTAAAATGAGTCCACAAGAGCCAAAATATGACCTTGACTATATCCAACCTGAATTTAGAGATCATCTGAGAAACAGATTTGATGCATTAGACACTAAAGACCGAAGACCAGAAGAGCTGTATGATGCCATCATGAACCTCATAAAGGAAGAAAGCAAAAGGCCATTAAGAAATTAAGAAAGAAAGAAAAAACACAAATGGGTATCAGAAAAAACTCCGAAACTTGTTCCCTAGTATAGAGATGCTAAAGCAAATGGAAAAAATGATGAGGTAAAAGAGCTGAACAGAAAACTTGAAAGGCAGCTGGAGAAGACAAAGCCAAATATAACAAAATGTGTAAAGACCTGGAGTTTAGAAAACCAAAAGGGAAGAACATGCTCAGCATTTCTTAGGCTGAGGGAATTGAAGAAATAATTCAAGACTCGACCTGAAATATTGAAGGATTCTACGGACAAATTATTGAATGATGCAGAAAGCATCAAAAGAAGATGGAAGGAAAACACAGTCACTGTACCAAAAGGAAATGGTCAATGGTCAACCATTTCAAGAGGTAGCATATGAACAAAAGCCAATGGTACTGAAGGAAGAAATAGACGGTACACTGAAGGAACTGGCAAAAAGCAAGGCTATGGGAACTGATGGCATACAAATCGAAATCTTTCAACAAACTAAGGAAGCACTGGAGGCACTCACTCATCTATGTCAAGAAATTTGGAAGACAGCTGCCGACCAAATGACTAGAAGAGATCTGTATTTCTGCCCACTCCAAAGAGAGGTGACCCAACAGAATGCAGAACTCATTGGATAATATCAGTAATACCGCATGCAAGTAAAATTTTTCTAAACATCATTCAAAAATGGCTGCAACCGTACATTGACAAAGAACTGCCAGAGGTTCAAGCCAGATTCAGGAGGATATGGAACGAGAGATTAGCATTGCTGATGACAGATGGATCATGGCTGAAAGCAGAGAATACCAGAAAGATGTTTACCTGTGCTTTATTGACTATGCAAAAGCTTTCAATTGTGTGGATCATGACAAGCTAAGGAAAACATTATGCAGAATGAGTATTCCGGAACAGTTAGCTGTGCTCGTGAGGAATCTGTACATAGACCAAGAAATAGTTGCTCAAACAGCACAAGGGAACACTGAATGGTTTAAAATTAGGTAAGGTGTGCAACAAGGTTGTATTCTTTCACCATACTTATTCAATGTGTGTGCTGAGTACATAATCCGAGAAGCCGGGTAATATGAAGAACCTGGCATCAGGATTGGAGGAAGACTCATTAACAACCTGAGATATGCAGATGACACAACGTTGCTTACTGAAAGTATAGAGGACTTAAAATATTTACTGATGAAGATCAAAGACCACAGCCTTCACTTTGGGTTGCATCTCAATGTGAAGAAAACAAAAACCCTCACTACTGGACCAATAAACAGCATCCATATAAATGGAGAAAAGATTGAAGTTGTCAAATACTTCATTTTGCTAGGGTCAACTATCAACACTCATGGAAGCAGCAGTTAATAAATGAAAGGACATATTGCATTAGGCAAATCTGCTGCACAAGACCTCTTTAAGGTGTTTAAGAGTAAAGATGTGTAAGTTTGAGGACTAAATCCTGACCTAAATCATGGTATTTTTAATAACCTCATATGCAAGTGAAAATTGGACAGTGAATAAGGAAGACTATAGAAGAATTCATGAATTTGAGTTACGGTGTTAAGAGGAGAATATTGAAAGTACCACAGACTGCCCAAAGAAAAACAGATCTGTGTTGGAGGAAGATCTGAATGCTCCTTGGAAGGCAGGATAGCCAGACTTTGTCTCTCAGACTTCAGACCTATTATCAAGAGGGACTGGTCCCTGGAGAAGAAGACTATGTTTGGTAAAATGGAGGGTGGGAGGACAGGAGGAAGGCCATCAACAAGATGGATTGGCACAGTGGCAACAGCAACAGGTTCAAATGTAGCAATGATTGTGAGGCTGGCACAGGACTGGGCAGAGTTTTGTTCTGTTGTGCGCAGGGTCGCTATGAGTCGGTACCAACTTGATGGCACCTAACAACAACATCAACACATAACTGCCAACTCACTGATAATGAAGGCACAGCCAAGGTGACACATAACCATCACAGACAGCGTTACTCTTGCCTAGCACCTGAGCATTCCTTACTACCAGACGTATGTCACTAATGCACAAAACATAATTTTTTTACTATTGTTATACAAGTGAAATTCTGGATACAAAGAAAGTTGATAAATGAAGAGTGGGTGTAACGTTTTGGCCATCACATATACTTCATTTGTTAAGTCAACCCTCAAAATTGAGCCTTTGGTGGCTTCTAAGCAATTTAGATAAAAACTCAATAGTAAATCCCGGTTTCAAGTTTTATGGAGTTTACAGCCATCTTTTCCCTTCCTAATTCTGAAATCTTCTAAACAAATGATACTCCTGCTACCACGATACCAACATTTTTGAGGGCAAAGTTATTTGGCTTTCTGCAAACATGAAATTTCCTTCCTGAGCTCAATATTTATTCTTTATTATTGAAAATGTAATTCCTCCACCCCCACCAAATTATACCCATCCAATTCCTTTGCTTACATTTCTAAAGTTAACTTTTACAACAACAAAAATGCTATCATAAAACTATTATTTCTATGACTCACGTTTTTAAAACCTAACTCCTATATTTTCATTTATATTAGCCAATATGTAATATATCTATCTATCTATCTGCCTGTCTGTCTGTGTTTGCCTGTCTTGTCCTCTTTGTCTGGGTTGTTGTTGAAGACTAGGGTTGTCGAATATAGTATTCATAAGTGCTCACATAAAATCTCGTGTAGTATCACAAGGTGAACCTTCAATATTTGTATTTGTCTATCATAATAAATTAAAATTATAACGAAATAAAGACTTGATTTTTAAAAAGTCCTTAATTAAGAAATGAGAATCAAACTTGGTATTAGCACTACTTGCTCCCTAAGCTCACTGCATTTTCCTGTGTCAAAAACATTAAGTTGGTAAGAGTTTTGCTCTTAGTCACTTCTAATTCGGTTCTTTCTCATTAGCCTTCCTTTCCTAACTTACTCTCCTTTCTAAATATCTTGATCAGATAAGCCATTTAAATTTAATACACAACTTTACTCAGCATCTATTAAACTACATAAATCCTGGAGGTATAAAATGAATAAAGCACAAGCTCTATCCTTCCTAATGAGTTTTAAATTTTATTTAATGAATTCAAACTTTGGATTATAATGGCCTTTACAGAGTCTTGTGTATTTACATCTACTAGCTAATGCCGGACTCCTGGTGTTGCGCTGCAGGACAAGCACTGGACTGTGAACCACAAGGTCGGCAGTTCAAACCCACCAGCT